CCCTCGGCGTTCCTCCGGTTTTCCACCTCTGGTTGCGCGCCGCCCTCGGCGTTTCTCCGGTTTTCCACCTCTGGTTGCGCGCCGCCCTCGGCGTTCCTCCGGTTTTCCACCTCTGGTTGCGCGCCGCCCTCGGCGTTCCTCCGGTTTTCCACCTCTGGTTGCGCGCCACCCTCGGCGTTCCTCCGGTTCTCCACCTCTGGTTGCGCGCCGCCAACGACGTTCCTCCGGGAAATCATCACCCTACCTCGAACTGGCATTGAGCCGCCAGTCCTCACAGACATCTTCCACGTCGTCGACACCATTCATCTGGTCTGAACCCCGCAAAAGAAAGGGGGACCTTCTCCGTCGTAACCAACCTCAGTTCCCAGTCGTCCAGGGGCAATTTCACAGAGTCCCCTCGAACAGACGGAATTTCGCACTGAGATGGGCACACAGCGAGATCTACCGATCTTATGAACCTTAGTTATTTCGTTCGGTGCAATGAAGTAATTACGTAATTACTTTTGATTTCCCTCTTACACGTTCCATTTGCAGATGAACGTTAACCGCAGTCAAAGTACTCACTCTCGGGTCTCCCTACTACTATTATTTCAATCAGAAGTGCCAAGAATGCAGTGATGACGGCACTGAATCGATTATTATAATCGAACAATCCATCTGAGCATTCTACTAAAACGACAACATATGAAGCCTCAATTTCACTTCCTCCTCCGTGACGTTGAAACAAGTACCTCTCTCTGGGTGCCTATTTAAGGGACGTAAATTAATTAATAAATAAGTTAGAGTTAGCCACCATCATGACTAACAGCATGCATTACTTCCCCCGCTTTGTAACCCAGCTAACCCGAGATGCTTCCCGCAGGCACTCCCAGAAATGGGCAGATCGCGCCGAGCTGGACGCAAGGTCCAGCTCAGACGCTTAGCACGAGCATACGCGACCCCTGGGGTCTTTGACCCCAGGATCTTTGACCAGCCGTTCGAGCCCCGGCAACCCTCGCTCCCGTGTCATCCTCCTCCTCCCTCGAACCCTCCGGTTGCCCCCGGGCACCCTCACCCCCCACCACCGTACAGGCCTCCGGACCCGTGCCCGACCAGGACGTGGGCTCCGCGCCCGCCGATCACCCCCGCACCGAGACCTCCCAGGGCCAGCCTAGCTACAACACCACCTGCGCCACCGGCATACCCGACGACGAGGCCCCGCCCGGAATCAGAGACCCGGCAACCAACCCTGGGACAGCGCACTCTTCGCCCCTGTATAGTGCGGATAGAGGCTCTCCCCCAGAAGGTCCGACTGGTAAAGCGGCCAAGGAACCAACCGCCGAAGAAGGACATGCCGATACTCCTCTGAGCTCGCCCGTCCTTGTTGTCTCTCTCTCCCTCCCCGGTTGTATATACAGGGTGAGTCTTTCCATATCCGACAAAATTTTTGAGAAGGTAGAACGGATCGAGATGAACGAAAAAGTCCTGTACCATTTTGCAATTTTCGTAATAGTTAACGAGTAATTAATTATTAAAAATCGTTGTCTTAGGCCGGCCTACCGCCCAATTCGAGCACGTGGCAAGATGTGACCGCCCGGCGATCGATATTGCTATGCGCACATCTCGCCACGCG